TGTCTTCAGTTTTTAGTTCCAAAAATCATTCAGTTACACCAAAATGAAGTTACACATGTACATGTAGTCATACTTTGTGAAGTCCATGGCATGTACATGTAACATGTATTTGTTAGCTAAAAAAGGGTAAATTGTATACAATACACATACATTGCACATGGTATATGTGAGAGTATTAAGAGCAAAAATAGAGCATGCATTTCTGGATTTTCTCCAGTAAATTTGTGATACCTTTTCATGCACAGTTCTGTGTGTTACACAGTTGTAAAATGCAAATGTTAAACTTTAGTTGGATTATTGTCTGTACACTTGCCCACATAGTCATACTGTACATGTAATAGGGATAAAGTGGGAAACATGAGCATTATCCAATGAAATTTTGCTTAAAGGGAACCAAAACCTTCATACTAAGTTACTTTTATTGTAAAGTTCAAGATATTTGAATAAAATCAGTGAAAATTTGAACAAAATCCGGCAAGGAATAAGGAAGTTAAAGCTTTTTTAAATGACTAGTCACTAGAGGGCGATATTCAATTTGATGACATCATTTGTGGACAACACTCCATGCCTTTTGTACGTCAAATTTCATGTTTTTCCTTCTTTCTTGTGATTGAGATAATCTACTCCCCTGAAAGCAAGGTATAGAATGCAAAATGATATTCTACTTCACATGTTATGAAGTCGGATCAAGAACACAAATAAATACGAAGAAAACGAAAGAATTGTGAAATTTGATGGTTTTGGTTCCCTTTAAGTGATTCCACTCTGGAGTGCCAGAAAGGCATTGAGTCATACTTAAATCCCTTCGGCTCTCAGCAGGGAAATCACTTTGCATGATAGAAACTAAGCTTAATGGTGTTGTTTTTTTCCACTGTGGTCCTGGTGCAGTTTGTAGAATGTGATTCCCACAGAGTATATCATTCTGTCTAGAGCCAGAAGGTCATTAACTCCGTGAAGTGATACGAGTTAACGCCCTCCTGGCTCCAAACAGATAACAATACCTTTCATGTTGTTTTGTTGTGCACGTATGTATGGCCATGTAAAAAAAATATACATGTTTAGCGTCCCCGGCCGCTTCCTTTTTGGGGTCCGCCTCCTATTTTTTTTTTTGGAAATTTTTTAATTTTTTAATTTTTTTTTTTAATTTTTTTTTCAAAGAAAAAAATTTGAAAAAAACTGCTAAAATGGATCTATTTCTGATTAAAAAAAAAAAAAAGGGTCGGCGGCCATCTTGAAAAATAGCCCGACTGACAGGGAAAATGTACCGAGCGGCCATTTTGAAAGAAAGAAAAAAAAAAGGGCCTCCTCCTTCCTATTTTTCCAAAAAACAGGACGCTAAACATGTTTATGTTTTTATTTGGCATATCCCTTTGTCTTCAAGTCTGTTTTCTCCCCATCTTCGAAAACTGCTCTCCAGAACATTATTTTAGAAATTCACAAAATATGTGACCAATACTTATCTTCACTATCATTCATAAGTTTATTGAAAATTGTTTAATTGGTTATTGGTAGTAGGAGCAATGCTGTATTATTATGCACTAGAAATATTCAAGATTGTTATGCACATATCGGTGATGTCTTAATGTGAATAATGTATATACTTCAAAGATATTTTGAAATGGAGGAATTTATTTTTGAATGGAATGATTCCCATCTAGAATGTAATTATATAATCAATTTGGTGGGTCTGATAAATTGCTTATGATTAATTTGTATATTTCATTATATTACATGCTCTGTGCCATACTCGTATACACCAAACACACACAAATTAAAAAATATATATATTTTCCTCAGTTGTAAAACAAATGTATTCCTTACTCTTAAGAATGTAATACTTGTATCACACTTTTGGGATTTTAAGTTTAAGCAGCCTGATTCTTAAGACATTTAAAGAAATTTTAAACAAATGGTTAATTACTTATAAACATACAGTTTAATCTGCGTAACATAGATTGATAAAATATAATTGATAAGGCACTTATTTTCTGATAACTGTTGATACAGTTTTATTGTATATTTCTGATGTATTGAAATATATTTTTCAATAATATCCTGTGTTTTTATGCTTCGTATTATACCAGTTTCTAGAAGCTTATTATATTCCACTTTTTGCGCTAAAAATAGAAAGACCTTGCTTTGATTTTGAAACCATCAAATGCCTTTACAAGTTAAAGAGTGACTACATGTATGATGTGACTGTACATACCAATTGCAAAATGTGTCTAGCAATAAAATAAATAACTTTCACAAACAATGATAATCCTTTCTTGTAAATGATGCTGTATTCTAGTTAATAAAACTCAAGCTATCTCTTCCTTTTTTAAAATTTTGAATGGAGAGATTTAAATCACATGTGTACCGGTATTATAAACATGATCGCAAAAATTTACAATGATCAACTCTAGGGCAAATTCAAAACCCTATTTTATTGCTTTGAGAAATAATGGACGGGTTACATGTCATTCAGCCTTTTCACACACAGCTAAAATTCATCGTATCTAGAGATGATTAGAATCACTCAACAGTTTTAAACATGTTTATAGACAAAATTTCCCAGTGTGAACATCGTTTATACGATGTTGGGATAGATACATGTACGAAGTCGCGATGCATACGCCCCTAAAAGCAGGCTGCAGATACGAAGTTCGTATCTAGTGAGCTTGACATTTTGTGTGTGAAAGGTTATTCATGTTTAAACGTGTTTCAGACGTGTTTAAACATGCGCTTTGATTGATGTGACATGACCTTCAATGCGCAATGGCACTACTGCGCATTTTACGAGCAGTAGTTAATCACGAAACGATTAACGATCGCACCGAAATTTCTGTGTGTGAAAGGCTCGTGATTAGTTTAAACACGTTCGAAACACGTTTATACTAGTCATGTTTATAGAATTTTAGCTGTGTGTGAAAAGGCTGATTGTAACATTTGCGCAATTCTTTAAACGATGGACGGGTCTATTTGATGATGCCTTAGGTTCATTTTCTGAAAGTTTTTGCGATCATGTTTATTGGCATTTCTACAATATGTGGTAACTGAAGTTTGAAACATGTAGGAATATAGAATGCAAAAGTTCTGAGATAAAATAAGATGTCGAGGTAGCAACTTTAAACCTTTTCCAACTTCAAAGTACATTTGTAAGTATGGTAAAAATACCTTTAGTGCAATTTTTTAAATGACAATGAAAGTACTTTTAGTGCAACGATAAGCATTTGGTTCTGTGATTTAAGAGAGCACTGGCTCACACACGATTGCGTTACATGTATATATCTGAATGTTGGAATGTATAAGAAAAAAATAGATATATCATCTTTTAATAATCCAAATAGTGCAGTGCTCAGTGAACATGTTCTGGAATACATCGGTTTTAAAAAAAAATGATAATATATCAATGATATAATGTCTGTTTGGAGCCAGAAGGGCATTAACTCCTGTATTTGAACACAGACTTAACGCCATTCTGGCTTTAAACTGATGATATTTTTTAATGTTGTTGTTTAATTTGGTTGTTGTTGTTTTTGTTCAGTGGTTGTACAGCTCACCCCACATGAGCTTTTGCACATTTTACAAAATGGGTGTATAGAGGGGAAAAGAATGCATTTTGTCTGCTGAGTGCCAGAAGGGCGTCTACTCTGTTTCAGAGGATGACATCAATGCCTTTGTTGCTCTCAGCAGATAGCATGTATGAGTAAAGTGTGGTGGTACTGATGATTGTAAATTGTAAAAATCACTCTAGATTTTGATGAGAATAAAAATATTAAAAATACTGTTTCACTCAAGGTTTTGTTTCCGCATAATTACATGCTCATTGATGTTTCCATAGAAACTATTTAATTGGTACGAGTATAAGGCCCCTGTTTCTTTTTCTTGTTTTATTCTGTGTTTCATTTCTTTTCCTATTTTCTTTGCCTTCTTCAAGAGTATGGAGAACAAAAGATGTCAAATCACTTTTTTCTCCAATTATTTTTCACAATTGAGATCAAACCTTTAAGATTATAGTTCCCCCTCTCTTGTCTTCACCCTTTGCTACCCCCTCATTCCTCTCCCCATCCCTTTCACCTCTCCTGCCCCCCCCCCCCTCTCTCTCTCTCCCTCTCTCTCTCTCGCTCTCTCTCTCTCTCTCTCTCTCTCTCTGTATATCTCTGTCTCTCCCCCCTCTCTCTTTCACCCCTGTCACTCTCTTGCTCTCTCTCCAGCTTTGATAGCAAAATCACCTATTGTAATACAAGCCGTTGGCTCTGATTGGCGTAAAATATGCAACGACATTTGGATACAAAACAGCCATATGGTTTTAATTTTTGACACCTCTCTTTAAGAGCTGCTCATTAAAGAGAAAAACAACAAACAAACATATGGTACTTGTATATCTGTCATTCACTTTACTCAAAGAGATGATTTATATTTTGTATCGGAGCTTTGATTTTGTACAGGTATTAATTTTGATATTATTGAAATATTTTCATGCAGAATTTGATTGGATGAAACAAGGATTAGGGATTAAATGATTTATCTTTTTGCCTTATTTGACATGGTAATGTTGATCCACTTTGAAAGATGACTGAATGCCCTGCAGGTGGAGATGGGGAGGGGGACAGGATATGAGAGAGAGAGACGGAGGGAGAGAAAGAGAGGGAGGGGAGGGCGATGGAGGGGAAGAGAGAGAGAGAGAGAGAGAGAGAGAGAAGAGATTAGAGCAGGGAGAGTGAGAAAGACAGAAAAGGAAGAGAGAGAATTATGAGAACTATACGACTACCGGTATTTCCTTGTCTGTACCCCCTGCTATACAAGCAGAGGTACACTTTCGATCATGTAGAGTGATTTTTAACATAATTTTGTTCTATAGACTTTATGCCCAATTCAACATTAGAAATTTTTCTTGAAAATGTAATGTGGGTTTTTAATCGTTTTTTGATCATAAGAGGTAGCTTAAAGAATATCGTTATGATTACTAGTATTGAAAAGCTACAATGTATTTCTCTTTCATTTCTTAATTACAGGTTTGCTTAAGAATGAGGAAGAGAGCGACTCTCTGTATGCAGAGGATGTTTAGCTGTCTGCTGCCCTCTACTGTCTACTCGAGCCTGTCTTCTTTAGGGATCTGTTCCCAGTTGAAATCGCACTATGTTTCCTTTTCCACCTAAACTATGGGAATTCCCCTTTGAATGTAAACTTTTTACATAAGGGTATGCATTGCTTTCATGATACTTGTTAAATGAAAGGTTAGTTCCGGGTGATATTTTGAGAGTTTTGTTGTAAAATAATGTAAATGAAAGACTTCAAATAAGTGGAGTTTGGGACTTGATAGTTCCTAAAAGTTAGACAAAAGTACTCAAAACTTGATCACTTAAAGATAAAGGTGAGTTCTGGTTAAAAAATAAATAAATAAATAAGTAAAAATAAATTCTCACAGAATCAAACAAAAAATACACTGAATGTTTAAGATTACAAATAAATGTCATTTGCCAAAGAATTTTGGTAGAAAATGTATACTGGCTGAGTAATGAGCATAGAAAGATTAGGAAGTCAAGGTTAGTAGCCCCGACGCCATTTGTGTAGTCCCATATACACCTTTCTGTGTACAGCGTTTGTTACCTTACCAAGACTGGGCCAAATTTATTATGATTTTGATGACTTCAGAACTTTGCAGTACACACCAATACTTACATGCTGCATGATCAACTTTTTCTGATCCATTCCACACCTTTTCTTTCACAATGCAATCGAATGACCAGAACTCACCTTTATCTTTAACCTGCAATAAATCACTGCAGGGGTAACAGGACCATTGATATCGTGAGTTTGGAGCCAGAAGGGCGTTAACTCATGTACTTTAACTCATAGTTGATACCTCTCTGGCTCAGGACTTCCTAATGGTTGGAACGTTACAACGTCCAAGTCAGTCATTTCCTAGTTCCCAACATGACCTCGTGATACATTTTCTTTACTGTCAACAAACTCATTTGGCTGAATAGATTCCTTTTGTAAGTCCCAATGTATATTAGCCAGGATATGGACAATGAAATAGGGACGGGGTATTATGTGCCCCAATTTTCTCCCCCTGTTTGCACATTTCACACACCCCCTACCCCCCCTCCCCCCCCCCCCCCCCCAATTTGCTATGTTTTAGGGAACATTTCTGAGAGTGGCTACCTCCAAAAAAATTCCTCGCTGCACACTAGTGTCAAAGTATGGAAAAATTGATGTGGTTTCTTAATCAACACCTTGTGTTATCTACCTTTGTAGGCTATCATTATTGTCATTTTTGGCAGATCAGCTGTAGGCCTACACATGTTTTACATTTGTTTCTGTTATTGTTTAATTGACAGAGTCAGAGGGTGGAGCATTAGACTAAAGAGGTGTTTTGTGTTTCTAGTTAAAAACCTGGATAAAAAATTTGAGGTGCAGTGTATCAATAGATTTTTTTTAGTATTTTCCTCTTTTTTTTCCTCTTTTCTTTTCATCTCTTTCATCCACTGTTCTCTCTCTCTCTCTCTCTCTCTCTCTCTCTCCTCTCTCTACCCCTCCCTGCCTCCTTCCCTCTCTCTCCCTGCCTCCTTCTCTCTCTCTCTCTCTCTGAACACCTCACTTCTCTCTCTCTTTCTTTCCACTTCCCTCGCCCATTCTATATTTTTGCTTTCATTAGCTTTTTTTTTCTTAATTTAATAGAGGTATAGTGATGTTGCAGTCAGTGAAAAGGGGGATGTAGTGTTCCGTGATATTTCTTATACTTTTTGAGGAGTTCCTCTTTCATTCTGGGGCCAGTTTTCTCGAAACCATCATAAGTCTAAGTTCGTGAACATCCCGCAAAAACTTGTGTTAATTCGATAACACATGATTCTATGGGATGTCCAAGAAGTTAGACTTACAATGATTTTGAGAAACAACCCCAAGAAAGCCCTTTCCCTGGCTACGCCACTGTGTAGAATCGCAAAGAACTAGGCCAAACTCTCTTTGTCATAATGTGTAGAAATATTAAGTTGGGGATAAGCGATGTGTACGAATGAAAGTACTGTAAATGACTCTTATGTTGCTCAAGGTGTATATGTTATAATTCTTGGTGTATATTGTACTAATCATTTGACTTTGGGGGATTTTCCCCTTGTACTATTCTACGTTCATTCCTGTTGTATTTAATATTATTTTAGTGTTGTACTTGGATGGAAAATAATACTGTAATTTCTTGTGTAGTACTGTAATTTTTATGTTAACATTCTCAATTTCAAAATGGAGTAATAAGGAGTGTTAAAACTGCAACTATTTCTTCTCAATTGTATTTTCTATTTTTTATTTTTTTTTCACTTGGAATTTTTATTCTCTTTAGAAGGATCTAGCGATCCTGTGCATTCATTAGCAATATAGGCTGATTTTTTTTTTGGTACATTTTATTATTTCATTAAAAGCGGTACACATTTCACCTTTTCATTTACATGCAGTTTTATTATTTAAATAAACATGTAGATGTAGCACAGTACTCTATGGTAGAATGTAAATGAACTTTTTGTGTCGTCATTTTCATTATTCCATCCTGTTCATATAATAAACTTTTCTCTTTATAAAAAAAAAAATCAAATTAAATGTGATTCTTGTGCTGTTATTGGTATTGTTTGCAGACTGGTGATCATGTTTATATGTTAAGAGAGTGAGGCGCATGAATGGTATATAAGAGTAAAGACACGAGTCCAGTCACTGATTGGGGAGGGGGGGGGGAGGGGGGGGGAGGGGTCTTCAGGCACAGACTCTGGCTGTCAGGAGGTGCTAAAGAACAAAGTATATGGAGTGCAATGGACCGTGCAATCGGCATAGTCTCTTTAAAAGTTCAGACTCTCTCTTTCTCTCTCCCTCCCTCCCTCTCCCCTATTCCCGTCTCTTTCTGCCTCTCTCTCTCTCTCACTCCCTCTCTCTCTCTCTCTCTCTACCTCTCTACCTCTCTACCCCTCTCTCTCTCTCTCTCTCTCTCTACCTAGAGAGCTACCTCTCTACCCCTCTCTCTCTCTCTCACTCTCTCTCTACCTCTAGAGCTACCTCTCTACCCCTCTCTCTCTCTCTCTCTCTCTCTACCTCTCTACCCCCCCCCCCTCTCTCTCTCTCTCCCTCTCTCTCTCTCTCTCTATCTCTCTCTCTCTCATTATATACATATATATATATATATATATATATATATATATATACATCTATTGTTAGTCTTATTACAGGACAGGGTTTGCTGGTGGAAAATGTCAAGAAAATGTCTGATGGAATTAAATTTTATTTTCCCTCCTCACATCTCGATGTCATTGTATTCCAACTACAACTCCCCTAATACTAAAATATTGAAGGGGTCCTTCGCCTCCACTCCTAGTCCCCTCCCCCTTCCCCATCAGCATTTTTGAAGGAGGGGAAAGAGGGGCAATTTACCCCTCCTGATAGATCTTGGAATAAAAAAGGAAAGAAATGAAGCAACTTGGCAGATAGTAAAGAATAATATTGTACGTCATGAAATGCATGCAAAATTGACATAACCTCAACAAAATCTCTTTTGTTTAACCAAACGAAAAATTACTTTCGGCGATTCCCCCCCCCCCCCCCCCCCACCCCCTAACGAACTCCAGGGCACTCAAGTGGTTCCTTACTCAAATTATATGGCTCATGAAAAATTGATGATGTATTGCCCCTCCTGAGGTCAAGGTATGGATACGCCGCTGCAGCCCCACTCCTTTATCTCAGCTAATACCCTCCGTCCTCCCCGACCGTCGCCGTTACCCCCCCCCCCCCCCCCTCAACCTCCATGCGTTAAGATGTGTAGCAGGTTTGAGAGCTGGGGTGCGGGTCTTTCTATCCCTAACACCCCCCCCCCCCCCTTTTAAATTATCCTTTTTCGGCCCCATGAGCTGAGAAGTTTGAGTGCTAGGGGGGGGGGGGAGGGGGGTTCCCTCTTAGTCTTATCCCTGAACCCCTCCCAACTCCCATTATGTATGTGTAGCAGGTTTTAGAGGTGGTGGATAACCCCCTTAAAATTACCCCTTCCCAAACCCCATGTGTTGAGTTGTGTATAGCAGGTTCGATTGCTGGCGATCACTACTATCATGCCAAGACCCCCCCCCCCCCCCCCCCCGACTTAAAGTATCCCCTCCCCAAGCCCCACGAGTTGAGATGTGTGGCAGGTTAGATAGTTGGCAATTAAGTTACTTCCTTACCTGAACCCCCCTCCCCCTCCCCCCCCCCCCCCCCCCTCCACTTACGTTACCCTTCCCCAAGCCCCATGAGTTGAGATGTGTAGCAGGTTTGAGTGCTGGCGGCCGCTGCTTGCCAAATATGGAAGCGATGTCATTATCACGCTTTACCAGCTGGGAGGGTAGAAATTACGACCGGGTCGCTTAAAGGCCACGATTGTAGGCCTGTACAGTAGCACGTTGGTAAGAGTCTAGAATATGGTTGCGTTGGAGCTAGGAGGGGTGGATGTTTTACCCGCAGCACTCTCTTACCCCTCTCTCATTTCACAGAGCTTGCTGAAATTTGACTGTTCTCTTGTTATAGTTATTTTGAGGTCTTTCGCATTCTCCATGCTAAAAAAAAAAATCATGTCGGTCGATTTAATACGACACTCCCCTATTCGAAATAGCCTTGCGACGCCCTGACGAAGGAATTCAGTGTGATCATGTCCATTTTGTTATTTTCTAATGCTCATATATAGGTTTAACTGAAAAAATACATCAGTAACGACTCCATCCTTTGTGATTTAATTCTACTGAATATTTTCCGACAGGTATATCTTTGTTCCAATAAGGAAGCAAAAGGGTATTCAGTTTTTGTCATTAAAGAACAGAGATTTTTAAAGATTACGGATCGGCCTTTGAAAATGTGAGATTTGCAACTAACAAAAAAAATATAGAATTTGAGTGGGGGTGTCACTCCACGCCCCCCCCCCCCTCACCCCTTGGCAACGCCGATGCTTTCTTTGTGTCACTGTAGACCGTTCCGTGATGACCAAAAGTGATTGACAGATATCTCCATCGGTACTGACATCAATGACCACATCTTAGAGGTCTAATTCGTCTCAGAAGACTTGGTTACTTCATTTGACCAGCCTAGCTATTCTAGAGGGGAGGTATAAAGTGAGTTGAGCCCCCCTACCCCCTACCCCCCCCCCCATGAAATTCCACAAGTCCGTCCCCCCTCAAAAAAGGAATACAATTAATAATAAAAGTCGAGAGGCACATGTAAACAAAATTATTATCTATTTGAAAAAGAATCTGATAATGATCCTGTTTGTTTGGATTATATATAATCAATAAAATTTGAATTTGAATTGATTTGTACAAAAATTAATGCAAGAACCCTCAAGATCCCCCAGCCCCCCCCCCCCCCTGAAAAAAAACATTATCCTTAAAC